TTCTACAAAGGCTACTGTTTAACAGCAGGTAATAAAAAACGAAAAACTAAGGTAGAAAATGTTCTATTCTCTCAAATAAAATTCTCTCTTCTGTAGTTATTTCTAAACCACACTGAAAAGCAGGTTAGACATCTCAATAGTTTTCTTCTAATTTTCCATTACCTAGAGTGGTTTAACACCCTTATCTTTACAAGCTGTGTTGGAAAACAAGCAGTAGAAGGCTAGGCTTGATTACAGGAATACTGTATACCAACCAAAGTTATATCCAGAGACGTTAAGTTTAAGATTAAGCTCAGCTGAATCAGAAACTTCAGCTCTAAAAAGCCCAACACACAAAACAGAATTATGTGCTCAGTATCAGACCCCTTCCTTGCCAACTTTTAATAATTTTGGTATTTCTGGACCCTGGTTATCAATCAAAGGCATCCATAAACCTTTAAATTACCCGAGCCAGGGAAAACAAAAAAAGTTGACTTTAACAACACAAAAGTTTGAAAGAAAACATTTTCCTTCTTGGTTTTGGAAATATTTCCAAAGTGTACTCTTTGTAATCACTACTTATATGGCAATATTAGATAGCTACTTCCTGTTTAAAACTATTTCAAGGACACTTACTCTGCTGAAATGCAAGAGTTTTATGTGTTAATTCAGAAACTTTGATTTTTCTGACTCTGGCCCTTTTCACATATAAGATGACTGAAATCTAGTTTGCACACAAAATAAGGCGTTTTTATTGTCCTACTTAAAAAATATATTTGACTAACAATGTAAAATTTATTCTTTAAAGGCATCTTCCTAAATTTAACTTGCAATTTAATTATAAGCATGGAAGAAATGCTGAACAGAGAAGTGTCATTTAATTTGGCTATAACCCAAAAAGTAAACGTAAGAGAAAATCATGACAAGGGCCCCAAGATCTAGATGAATTTGCTGACAATGAAGTCACCTAATGTGGGAAGGATCCTATCCTGGGCTTTTTGAAATTCTGAAGCCAGAAGTTGCCATCTGAATACAATTCATTAACTGACCAATTTTTTCAACACAAACCAATAAATATTTACCCAGTTATAAAAATGAAGTGATGGTGTCTTACTACAAGGATGAAGCTAACACAGCCCCAGGCCTCAAAACAAGCAAGCATCAACAGCAATTTAAAGCCAACTTGCACAAGTACTAGAAGCGCTATAAGAAATTTCCTTTACCAATATTACTGTACAGCAGTTGACGTTTCAACCCACCATCCTCAACTATCCTAAAATTTGGTTTTTTAACAGAAAGTCTATCTTCCACCAACCCAGAAAAATAAGGAGGGAAAAATCAGAAACCAATAAATTGTGAATAAAATAGGGAAATGTATGATTTGGGTATGGTTTTGGAAATTTGCCAGCAATCTTTTTCTTCATTAGCTCTCATCTAACTACCTTTCATGTGCTAACACGTGCGCACACACACACACTTTTTGCTATAGAATTCTGAATGAATTATAGATAAGGAAGCACATCGTGATGACATGAACAAGATAATGCTCAGAAAGAATTCACTGTATTATACATCGGAGATTGGAAATATGGTCATCTCCCACCTCGGCTGCACAAAATCACCAGTGAATCTGTTCACTATTGCCTTTCAGTGGTCTTTGGAGGTCACCCAAACTAACCCCACCGCAAAAAACAAAAAAAAACCTGCGTGCTATACATACTAAGGAACAAATGTACTACAGCGTGCATTATTTTTTTTAAGTAGAAATAAAAATTCTGAGGTGACTCCAAATTAACTTAATTTTAAAAGCCACAGAACTGAAAAGTTAAACTGCCATGTGAAATATCTGCTATTTATTTTCAGATATAAACACTAAGATGGCATGGTCATAGCAGGAAAAAGAGCATCATGTTAGTGAACTTTTCCCCATTTCCTCTAAAGTGTAATTATATAAGATATGCTTTTAATTACTTATAATGGCTTATAACCTTCCTTTCTTTAAATATTTAAAAGTCTACTCCCTCATTCTCTTAAAATAAAATGAACAAATGCAATATTCAGCATATGCTTCCTCAAATCATTCCTCTTCCTTTGAAACCCCAAAAGGGAGCAGTCCTCTCTTAACAACTAAATGAGTTCATGTTTGTTATGAAAACCTACAAGCAACAAATGAAAATAGCATAGTCAGCACAGGGAATTTCTGGAAAGGTGATGGTGCATCAAAAGGCTAGCAACTCTGTTGGGACAGAATAATAACCATTTAAAGGACTGTAAATTCAACATCAACGGCATTTCCTGCAGAAAACATTTTTAAAATTCCACCTCCAGCTTATTTCTTCATGACACAGACCAAAAGATCTCCTATCTAGATAGGTAACTCTTGCAAATGTTTCATACAAAATGGAAATCAGTCACTAGGATAAAAAGTCAGGAGAATTCATTATTTTCTGCTTAGAACTTAAGCAGTTTCATTTATTTTTGGAGAAAAATATTAAGAAGCAAAAAGAAAAAAAAGTGTCCACTATTCCAAAGGCAAACTATTTTCTTTATCTTTTTTGGCAGTTTTTCTGTTAGCATATTTAGTTCATGAGTGCTAATGAACATATATTGTAAAACAGTACACTATTCTAGTTTTACACTGAAAAATAAAATATCCCACAAGTCTAGTGATTCATGTTTTTTTCTTTTAAGCCCACCAAGCTGCCAAAAGTTCCCACTGTGTTTTCAACAAAAAGAAAATATTAGAACATTAACTTGGACTGATGTAAAATATTAAAGCCACCTTAGCCTAAATGGATTGCTCGATAACATTCTTTTAAACGGTTTGACCAATTGAGGAAATGAGACTATGAATGGAAAATCCGATTAACAATTAAAATTGCCATTGAGTTCTTTAAAATGTACTAATGAATAATTAACAACAAATGCAGTTCTCAGACTTCCCTTACACCAATATTATTCTCAAGTAGAACTGAAAGTAATGTCTGCAGTAAAATCCGTCATCTACATTATATGCACAGGTGAGTACAGGAGTATTCACACATAGGAAGGCATCACAGAAATATACACACTAATGTGGGCTATAAGACAGATCTGAGGCTTGGGTAAAAACATCAGCAAAGCAAATTTTAGATCAGAATTTACAATATTTACAAATAAGTACCAAACCAAATCTCCATACAAACTAGCTTATAAAGTCAAAAGCATTAAAGAAATCCTTTGTTCCTATGATACTGTCACCTTCTACCCTAACTGGATTCCAGCCTCCTCCTTTGTGATAGGGGATTTTATTGATCTAAAACATGTTCACATTCAGAAATTAGTCTCCAAAGACACACCACGGGACGGCTAGACACCACACACATCTCCAAAAAGAACAAGAGCTTTGAAAAGCATATGACTGTTTGATTAGCAACATCAAGCGAAGTTAAACAGGCTCTCTTCTAAAGACTTTTTCCTTAACTGATAAAAATACCAGATTTACTGAATTAACAAATGTTTGATAAGCTAATAAACGTACGAAGCCGCAGATCTAACCCAAGATTTCTTTCCTCTGTAGCTCCTTGTTCATTCATCAATTGAGCGCCTAAGTGACCTATTTTCAGGTTACTTTCCTCACACCTGCCAGGTCACTGTCCTGCTTGAGAAACTTCTTGCTGGAGCAATTAATTTTTAGTGCCTCCTAACTGTCCCGGGTGTTTGCATTCAATTTGAAATCTGTTACTTGTTAGACACTGTTCAGTCCCAGATCTTTCACAGAATTGCGAGTTTATGGCGCAGAGAGGGGAGGAGGCACGGATCTGTGAGAGCCTGCCCTTTATTCGGAAATGAGGAGATGTGAAAGGTGGAAAGCAGGGCAAATAAATAAATAAATCGGGTTTGCCGCCGGAGCGTTTGCCGGCCGGTACGAGCACCCTTTGTAATGCAGGACTCCCGGGGCTATCGCATGCGCTAATTGCTCCAGGGCGCTTTCCAAGTTCAAAAGTTCACCTTTTACGACCTCACAAAAGCTCCTTACACGTTACCAATAAAAACATTCCGCGGCAAACACACCGAGGGAGAAAATATCAAACAGATACAAATAAAACACCCCGCAGGGGGAGGGCGCTAGGAGGGGGAAGACGGCGAGAAAGCCCAGAGGAACATGAGGACCCGGCCCGGACGAGGGGCCAAGGGGAGAGCGGTAGGCAGGACCCGGCCGGGCCAGGTAAGGAATTCTCAGCGCCCGAGGTCCGGGCTCAGGAAAAGGAGAAAGGGACCAGAAGAACTGAGGCTGGGCAAGTGCGGACCGGGACCGGCCGGTAGGAGCCGGGAAGAGGCAGGTGTCCCGAGCCCGCAGAAAGTCGTCGCCCAACAGAGAGGCGGCTGAGCAGAGACGTTGGGGAAGCTGAGGCGAGGGAGAAGGAACAGGCATGAAGAACTACGAAAAAGGAAACGACGGGGAACACCTAACGAGCTAAGGGTCCGCGCAGAGGTGGGAGGCTCGCAGTACTAAGAGCGAAGGAAGCGCGGGGCTGCAGAGGGGAATAGGCTCTAGGAAGGTGCGGGGTAGCAGGGTGTGGAGGTCCGTAGGGCTAGAAGAGCGAGACCGCGGAAGGAGGAGGGACCCGCGTGGGGGAGGGGATGCCCCCACTGACCGGCCGCGAGGGGGGATCCGCGCCGGGGGGGAGGGGAGGACTCGGCTCTAAGGATACCGGGGGAGGGGGAGAGGGGTCCGCGCTGAGGGGGGGGGGGAGGGAGAATTGGCGCTGAGGGGACGGGGGGAGGGGAGGCCTGCGCTGAAGGGACAGGGAGGAGGGGGAAATGAAGCTCGGTGCTGAGGGAACCGGGCAGGGGAGGGCCCACACTGAGACGGGGGAGGAGAGGGAGGGTCGGCGCTCAGAGGGACCGGGGTGAAGGTCCACTCTCAGGGGCCACTGCGGCTTCCCAGAGCGAGAGTCGACCAAGAGGAGGGGGATCCCTGCTGGAAGGACAGGAGGCCGGTTCTTGCTTGGCCCAGGCTCTCCAGGCCCCTCACCCACCATTGCGCGGTGGCGGAGGGAGCGCGGCGGGCGGCTCCAGGAACCCCACCGAGCCCCCA